AACTATCCTTCAGACTTCACCTTTAGGCACATTCCTCAGCCCTTCCAGTTAACCATACATTTGGAGGAACTAGACTCGAGTTTCGCTGTTGTTAGAACTCATCAGTAGTGCATATCCACCATCCCGGCCTTCAGTTGAACCCCGGACCCATCGCATGGGAGGTGTGTGTTACCACGGTGCCCACCAGCTCATACCATGGTTGAGCCGAAGTGCCAATTCATGTTTGTTCAGGTGTCGTCTTCAGTGATAGCCACTCAGTTAATCTGACCCGACAGCGTCGAACGGAGACGTATAACAATCTGTTGACTCCAATCGAAAGCCTTCCCACAAGTCAGGACTTTCATGCAGGTTATGGGCCACATACCTACAAGGCTCGATCTATCATTCGCATTTAACTCGCAGTTACTTGTGAGTAGTGTGTGTGGGATTATTGATATTGGTATNGGTATCAGCCGTTCTCATTTCTTCATATTCGCCACCTTGGGAATCGAATTGGCTTGCAAAGAATGTGAGCCGTTTGGCTCCTCGGGATCGAAACAAATTCTGTGTGGTTTTGTACACAAATTTAAAATTTTATGAAACCGAAATTGTATTTTGTCGTTTCAGCTGAATGATTAGTTACACATTTCACATCTCTATTCGGTTCCTAGAATTTCCTCTACTACTATGTGGACCGATGGTCTAGCTCGNGCCTCCGGTGGAAGGAGAATTTGTGGTCATTGGTGATTCGCAACAGATCATGTTGGATCAGGACACCCCGGTACTGACCATGGTGCTCATCAACGGTGGTATGCTATTCTTCGATCCAACGAAAGACGTTGAGTTAAAGGCCAGATACATTATCATTATCAATAATGGCACGTTGCAAGTGAGTCTCCTTGTTTAACTTTCTGTTAGTATCTATCTGTATGGGTCTTTTGGTGGCGGTATTTTGAGGCTTTCGGGTGGACACTGGCCGTGGCTTCATAACGGCATGAACGTTGGATGAGACTACAGCTCAACAGTGGAGGAGTCACGCTCAAGGTTCTTTATTTTGTTCAATACGATTGAGTAAACGAATGCGAATTTCTGTCCGGCGGAGTGAGCATACAAATAACCGGAACGTGAATTGGTCGTCAGTCAGTGAGCGCAACTTGAATTTCTAGCACTCTCGGTAAACAACGCTGGTGAGTGTCAGAAAGTCATCTGCATCGTTTTTCACTAAATTGAAGCAGTGATAGTGAATGGTGAACAAAAACACTTTTTCGCCAACCGTGTCTGTCTGACTATCTAGCCGGTTCTTCCAAACGGAGATCGCTTGTAATTTTTGGTTGGTTCATGTCTCTATCGTCTTCAGCCGGGCGACCTCAAATTGTGCCTGCTGCACAGCTGCTCCGGTCTGATCGATATAGGGGATCTGTAAATTTTCCTACTCACCAGCTGTCATGAATCAGGCGAGAACTGCGCATCTGCTCGACTGCCTACACTGAAAATTAACTAAACTGTTCGTTTTTATGGAAGTGTTATACAGGAGCAGGAGGTTTCCAAGGAAGCACTCTCCCGAAATTTTTGGTTGTTTTTACCCGTCAAGTATACGTAGTGGGTAACCTCCTGTCAAGTCATTTGTGCACTACATTATTATAAGTATATTGTCTTGACCAATTTCCAGTCCGCCACTCAGCGTATATCCTTCGGTTATGCTTTATGTAGGAAGTCTATGTGTAGCTAATTACCATGATTTAACGTTGCCTTTGTTGATCGGATGTAATCAAGATCAAAATTCCTGACTGAAACCCTGTTTCTGAATATGACGCAATTAGCGGTGCACATGTTTGTACCAGGAACATAAAGTGTCACACACACACGCATATGCACATCTATGTGTAATTTCTACTATCGTCAATACTACTACATCATCGTCATCGTCATACGGTGAAGCATACTTCGCTGATCGCTGCCAAACTCGGATTAAGCACAACATAGAAAGGAATATGGATGAGGTAGATTGGGAATGGAAATGTAGGTGAATCTTTATGGTCAACATGTAGAGTTCCCAGTCGAATTGTGCACACACATTTTCTGAACGACACTGACTGGATACACGCGGATAACCAAAAGGCCAATTCTGTGTTTGGCATTCTAGTCGTTCATTGTATCCAACCAACCAGTCACGCGATCTTTTAGACCCATTCTTGTATTATAGTAGACCCTCCACTCCACTACGTCTGTTGGTTTCCACGTGATTCTTCCTTCTTCACTCCCACCCCGGAGCGGCAGAGAGAAATAAGCTGTGGTGTGGCAGTCGAACCTGTCCTAACATGTAAAGCTTACTAATATGAATTCGATGTGATAATTACTTTTTTAGCGATCAATTCCCAACCACACGACGGATTAGCTCCACGGCACTAACCTGTTCACTCTGCCAGACGAGCAAAAAACTAAGTAACCATCGATTCTTGAATACCTCAACTTGATGAATGTTTTCTACTTTTAAGTACAGAGTTTAGCCAAACTGCTCGTTCATTGCACGCAACCTTTCAACATCAGTAAAACATCACGTATACGCGAATCTTGCATACCCTGCTCATGCGTTAGAAATCCCCGCGGTTATCTCCTTTAATGTGATACCACAGAACTGCACAGCTTGAAAAAGCAATCGATTGTCACTAATCCGTGGCCATCGATAGTTCCAAAGTGGGACTACTCGACACCAATTTGTGTTGAATCATTTTGTACTTCATAGATGCAAGTCGAATACGGACATGAGCAACATATCTATTGTCGGTCGGTCAGGTGCGCCCTAGGAGCGTAATTCATGCATTCAAGCAGGTGGGATTGTGGTTGGCATGCTCTGATTCGCACAGCTTTTCTCATGCTGCCCATTCAATGTCAACAGTTTGGAGAAGAAAGAAATTAATGTATTCAATTATTTCCAAATTTTCAACTCGTCAAGGTAGCCGGGTGTTGTCATACATGCTATACATATGACAGAAACGTTCAACGCAACAACGCGTGAATCAAGTTTCTCATTAATATTCGGTTTTAGATTGGCACCGAAGCCGAACCACATCCATCTCGAGCAACGATCACATTGTACGGTCATGTACGTGAGAAGGAGCTACCCTTGTTCGGTGCTAAAGTGTTGGCACTCCGTAATGGCACATTGGAATTGCATGGTAAGATAATACGATTCAGTGATAAACTCATGTTTTACAAAGGAAATGTCCAAATATGCCATTCAATCAACTTGAATGACGAGGCAAATCAATGTATATGAAGAAATAGGAATCGAAATCGAATGACATGAATTTCGGATTTGGACTGAAAACTCACTTAATAGCTAAAAAAATGTCAGGTGGTAACAACACGAGTTGTGGAAACAGTACATTCTATTCAGAAAATCATGTAAATAAATAGCACAAGCACCAACCAATCATAGGTCGATTCTTCAATGTCCAATTGACAACGATATCTGCTCACTTGGTTACTTTCGTGTATTCAGCCAATCAGATCGTTGCCACTTAAGACCACAGTATTGGTCAGGAAGTCCATTTCCTGATTGGCTATCTAAAAGCTGTACCGTGGTGTGTGCCTAATCGTTGCACAATCTCCACAAATTCTCATCAATGTATCGAAAAATTCAGTATGCCACAATTTTTGTATTGTTTGTCATATGAATTTCTGTCTCTTACCCAAAGGTAGGATCAACAAGTGGAAAACGTTTCGCTTTGAACTTTCTTAGGCACTACTTCAAGCACTACCTAGAGAATGAGCAAGCCCGGTTAACATTCTGTGAAAGGTTATCANTCAGTCCTTTTTAAAGTAGCAAGCTTGGATGAGTCCATTCGTTTGTTCAGAGGCACCAGGCACTCTTGATGGCCTTCGGTGCGGGCTTCACTGTTTGTGAGATCGTTAATTACCCCACAATTTCATGTATTTACATGCGATGGAAATGTTTGTAATAACCAACAAAGAGCACGGGACAGCTGTTTCGTCTTGTTTGGGGCTCGTCAGCAGTGCGTGTAACTCGGGGGTATGGGTTTGAAGTCCCAACCGGAATGTTTATGGTTTGAGTCCTAACCGAAACACAAAAGATATTCTTTGCTGGTTATCAGTCCTCTTAATTCCAGGTGATTGCATTCAACTGGCTCACCAGCTGGCCCTATGTATGGCTTGTTAGCTGTAAATATCTTATTTTCTGGGGATTTGGATTTCACACTGAGGTGGCATCTGGGAATGAATTCCGTATTCGATCTGGGGTTCGAACCTAACCGATAGGTGGATAATTTGAGTCAAACTTAGCTATCTGATGAAAATACCTCGATCATTATGGTAAACATTCAATCAAAATTTTAGTTTCATGAATATGAAAACGTCCGTTTCGTGTATTTGAATATCCTACCCAAGTTACCTTTGCTTTAAATACATTACAATTTTTCCTACTTCTTTGAACGTTGATATCGCTTGTAAATATGGTGTATCTGTCGCAAAATTTGCTGATGTACGGTCGAAAGTCCCACTTGGTAGTTTCAAAGAGTGGCTGAACCATATTTGATGGATTCATGAATTGAGAACGAATAGACATTCATTTCATGATACACAGGTATCAAGTAAACGGGATAAACGTGTGTTACAAACGACCAGAAAAATGCCAAATCAAGCGTAAACGGCAGACTGAAAGTTGGTGTGGGAATAAATGGAGAAAAACTTTTTTTAAATAATTGATGAATATGCGTGTGGGGAGATTTTGTTTTGGAACGTGTATGGAAATAGCGGACAACGCATGGTGTTTTCACTATGCAAACAGTATTTTTCATTACGAAACAGACGTTTGTCAAACTGGCCATTCGCATCCAGGTAGTTGAAAAGATGAGCTCAAAGAGGTCACTATCAACACTATCAGTTGATCTGCCCAACAACTGCAAGATGTGTCAAAATGAAATAAAATAATATCCTTTTTTCCCGGAAAAGGATAGGGGTAGTAGAGACCGTGTGGAATGATGTGGGTGGTGAAAAACAGAAGGCCATTAATTGGTCTCATTTTATGAGCGTAAAAAGACAGTTTACAAAATTACTATTGTATCAGTATTAATAAAATGCTGCTTGAGAAATTGAATGTACAGTCTCCCTGTAATGACTGAATAAAGAAGCCAAAAACAAGTTTTCACAATATATCCTGGTTCATGTCGTGGCATCTGTACACGTGCAAACTGTAGTCTATATGATCATCAGTATATATGGCCAGTACATAACAGAATTATAGGCGGAGAAATATTGCGGTCAAAACTACTCACCAAACACATTTATTAACAAAGTGCCGCACGCAGTGACAAGCCATTCACGCTGTTCACACAGTTTGGATGGTAATTTTGAACGGCTAGTGACTCGGCTTATTTCAGAACCTTGGTGTTTTTTCGTGTTGTAAAGGATTCTGAACGCGTCACTCAAGGTAACACAATGTTTCATTTCGACTAGGTGTTGTGTGATCGACGAACTGATTTCTCTACGGGCCATCGATGATGTCATATTTCCGAAGTTCCCGTTCATTAAGTTACTGAAGCCCCACCGGGATGGGCTCGGTAAGGTAGTTGTCTCTCCGTTCTGCCAATATAGATGGCAGAGCATCCACACTTGAACTAGCAACCAATTCTGTTTTTCACTGACCATATATCAATGACCACGTAATTTGCACTAAGCATTTGTAAAGATGCGGCAAAACGACCCGGGATACGTTGTCCAGACCTCTGTTTTTGGCTTCCCTATTGAGCTAATGCTGCTTATATTTTTTTATCAGCCAAGACACACTGCAATAAAATGAAACTTGACTATTTCAAGCATGTGCTCTTATAGATAGTTTCACTACAAACACAGAAAGAGAGAGGGATACAAGATTACAATAACCGGATTGTTATGGGGCAGTTGAGGTAACGTTTACAGGACCGTCAGCAATTTTGACATACGAGAGCGGAATGCAGATCATCAGTTTCAGTAGTCTAGCAATCTTGATGAAGTTGGATTGAAGTGAGTTTGGTATGTAAGCATTCAGGAACTGTATCAACTGCCTTGTTGCATTCTGACCGATAGGAGCAGAAGTAGTTGTGCGGAACCGAGAGCGGTAAGCGGTCGAGAAACCGGGTTACTATAAACAGACAAACAAGTGGTCTTTGAGGCGTTGAATTTTACGCGGTCAGAAAACCCCCAAGATACCATCTGTGCGTTTCCAACTTCAAGTGAAACCGTTGTAACTTCAAATAAATCCAACCAATCGCATGCTGCTAGGTACAGATCCTCCTAGGAATTGGTGAATGACATCAGGTTTCATTTTCGCCAGTGTGTTTGAAAAGCGTCTCATTACCCACCGACGTGTTTGTGTCGTGGCGGTTTTCCGCTTGTCCTCGTTTGATTATTTATAGTATACTTCAGTGAACATTTTTCCCCATAGGACGAGTGATCTAACTGATTAATTCCATCAGCATTGTGGATAAAATGCATTTATCAATCTGGGGAATTGCAGACAAAAAATGTGATTTCTGTTAGCTGTTGTTGAATGAGTCCGAATTAGGTCTTGCGTTTGAGGTGTGTGTGCCTTTCAATGTCAGAAATACGTAAGCAATTGCATTTGGTTCAAAGGAAGTCGTATTATTCGAGAGAACTTTGCACATGGTATTTACTCACTAGTCGATTGAGGTCTCAGACTGAATCCACTAATCCACTAATGCGATGATTCATTTCAACATTCACGTCTGAGCATGGTGACTAATTTATCGATCCAGCTTAATGTGATTCACTTCCTTACTCGATCGACCGAGGTCAGTCACCACCGAGCTCGTTCATTCCAGTCTGAAGTTTACTCAATCAACGTTCCATCGTTGGGGCAGGGGGGAGAGCGAATTCTCAAACCCCACCTCATCGAAACTGGCTGGCATCGTCAGTCGATAACTCAATCAAGAAGTACTTATATTTGATTATGGATAAGACATTCCGACTTGACAGAGTTCGGACAGACCCGGTCCATTTGATGACGTTTGATGGCTGGAGCACCAATCACTTTGTTCCGTCCTCGATAGAATGGTGAGATTTACATGAAGTTGAAAAGGTATGGTAGAGACTGATATTCATCAACTGCAGATATTGGATCGACTTCAAAGAATATTTTTTTTTCATTAATTGAAAAGATACGTCAGATTGAAGTAAAAAAACGTGCCGAAATTGTTGAAAATATATGTGTTTTGAAGTGGAAGAAAAGTGGTTTTAATAAAAATAGGAACACGGAAACTGATGTAGCTCTGTTAACCCACATCACAATAACTAATAGGCTAAGAAGTATAATAATCGTCGGAAATGCGTTCCCATGATGGTGCAACTAAGTTTACTAAAAAATCTTCATACCATACTCGGTCCGAAATTTTCGGGATTCCGTGGTGCACTAAATCGTTGTGATTGTCTGTTTATCCCTATGGTATGAGTGCATAGATTGAATGGTTGGTGGACAGCCGCCAGTGGACCTGTGTGCCAGTGACATCTGTTCCGACTACGGCAAATGGGTGCATAATGCTTTTCGTGACTCTGAAGCGAATTGAGAAAAGAGTAATATGGTGATAACTGTTGGACAGTGAGGAAAAGTATTGAGATACAAACACAATATACAAAAAAAGGAAATATTCCAAAATAAGTGTCCACGTGTGAGGGGCTGTTTGAACGAATGATGATCAATCAAAATTCTGACTCATGATTCTTCAATGACAGTTGCAAAATACAATAGTCTGGTTAAGAGACATGGATAAGATCAGTGCGCAAGGATCTGGAAGACATTTACAAATGCTGTTTAGACGACAAATGAGCGCTCAAAGAGTAGGGTAGAACTAGTTGCTAAAAATGGAAGGAAACAAGTAACTTTCTCAAGTGAAGTGCAATCGAAAGTCCTCATTTGGCAGGGATATTTGATCAAAAAGGCAACAAGTGAAGAAACCCGATTTTCTCAAAGCATCAAACCGAGAGAGACTGGCATGCTACCGCAATTTCTGTATTTCGAATCATAATCAACAGTGAGTTGCAGATCCGCAAGTAAAATGATCTTAAGATCAGCTTATTTGAGTGTAGCATTCGTGATATGGTCTCCATCCATATCTTCGCAACAACTCACTCATGGAAGAACCGTCTAGATATTCCAAGCGAACCAGAAGGCGCCTTCAAGCCACGGCCGAGGAGAGTGTAATTCACATTTTCAATCTAGAGTTATGCAAGCAAAAAGCTGCTGCTGCCCTGGCCTGGCCTGGTCTGGACAGCGGATTGATTGTGCATAAAATAGAGCATTAACTCACCTCCCCAACCCACCCACTCCTTCTCCTCCAGTATTATCAACCACAATCATAAGAACTGATTATTTTATTTTTATCTCAAGTATCTCATCCCAACTACATCTCTTATCATGCATGAAATATAGTTACTACGTAACTTTATCCTGCTATCTCGTTTTAGCTCACACCCTTCATTTTAATCTGTCCATCCCTCTAACGTTTTCACTAGCCTTGTCACATTCGTTTAGTCTGTTTGCTCACCTCTATCATTGTTATTAACTGAGCTTTGAACGGTCAATCCGATATATGTACTATGATCACCTCATATATGTAAACGCCTGATGCGATATGTCGGAAGGAAATTTCTTCGCGAACAACGTTTTCTACAGTGTTCAGTGTGTTTGTTCATTTCAGTCGCAATTTATTACTACACAACGAGAAAGAAATTTCAAATCGTTATTTGGCAGATTGAAGGTTTTACGTCGAGACTGAAAAGTTCGGTAGCTTCGGTGGGATTCGAACCCACGCATGATAGACATAGGTCAGTGCTATCGGTGTGGCCTGTAGCTCAGCTGGCAGAGCATGCGTTGTGCAAAAGCGTGGGCGGAGTCCATGCGTGGGTTCCATTCCCACTGAACTTTTCAAAATTTCGACAAAAAGAAATTTAGTTTAATTTCAATGTCAATTTGTATCGCACTTAACTGTGTGATGATTAGCGCAAGGTGTGAATCCCATAGTCATTGGGTTTCTTCATTTTAACCGATAACCTAAATTCCCAGAACTTAGAATGGTGAACCGCAAACACTCCAATGCCGGAGGCATATTATTGCATCGGATAAGAAAGAAATTACCTATCACCAAAAAACAACAGTTTGCATTAAAATGGCCACTTTGCCGATTCACTATTTTGCTTTTCTTTCGCGCAAACAGGTTTGCCTCGAGCAGTCACGTGGACACGACTTGCTCAACCGGCAGATGTGGGCTCGAGAACATTGGTTCTCAAACAACCTGTGGATTGGCAACCAGGGGAAGAAATTGTGATCACGTCAACTGGGGGCCCGACTGCTCACAACGAAAATGAAGTCCATCGAATACAGTGTAAATAAGATCAATTTTGAACATGATAGGTCAATTCCGTATGAGAAGCTCTTTTCCAGGCCCATTTATAACTATACATTGAAAATACTGTGAAATCAGTACGGGATCCAGATACGGATTACGGCTGGCTTTGGTAGTGGGACAGATTAATGTTTTCTCTGAACAAACGAATAAGAGCCTATTGAGCGTGGAGTGATATCCAGATTGCAGAAAAATAAATGGATCATCGGGATTCTTGTAAGTTTCTGGAATACCCGATGTTTTGATTGTGGAGGGATGTCAACAAGCCAATAAACCTATACTTGTGCTTCTTTCGATCGACTGACATAAACGGGATTTGAAAAAACCTGTGGACGACTTCACCGCACCTCAACTGCTGCGTAACACAGTGAAATCATCTAGGACACAAATCGGGAAATATTATAGTACTGTCTTCGCATTTCAAATTGATCAAGGAAAATGCATGTTTCAGTAATGAGCCAGTACTCTGTGGTCAGTCTTGTTTTAGATCAATCGTAACGTTACCGTCACCTAGGAAATGCAGAATTAAAACTGGTTCTCACTCACTCAGATTCCATGTCCTGAGTACGTTCCCCACATATCCCGTTTCATTTCCTCTCATGTGATTAATGGAGAATTTGATTCAATTTCAAAGGTGAATTTGTCGTGTATGTAGCAAATAAAGCGTGAAATGAAAAGCTAGGAAGCACCGTACAGCTGTTTAGATCTGGTTGGGTCTCACCAGTTGTGCAAATCCATCGCCCCAACTGGGGATCGAACCCGGGACCTCGCAGGTAGAACACAAGCATATTACCCAACCAGGCTGAAACAATTGTCCAGTGTTTCCTAGCTTTTCAGTTCACGCTTCATTTGCTGTATACACGACGAATTCACCTTTGAAATTGAAACAAATCCTCCATTACTCATATGAAACAAGTAGACAGGTTGGAATTGTTTCCAACCGAGTTATAACTTAAAAGGTTGGTGCTGAGATAAGCGAGGTCCGTGGCCCGCAACAAGCTTGTAAAAGTGAATTGTGCTGTACCGTGTGAATGGAAAATGATAAACGGTTTGATCAGCTGCCCGGTGACCGAAATACATTTCAGTTTCTGATATCATACTTGTACAAAAATAAAATGTACTTCATTTCGAAAGTTACAGCTTAGATTTGGAAAATATATTATGTAAAGCAACCTGGAAATTCATTCATTTTAATAAATGATTCCTATTTCATGAGAGAATTTATTAGGTTGAACATACGTATTCTAAATAGCTAACGTCTTTTCATTCACTGCACTGCGAATAAGCCGATCAATGGAAATTCTCTAGCTTACATAAATTGGTCGCAGTCTTCGGTTGTGTTTGGTTTGAACTGGGTACTTGAGGAACCTGGGGTGAATTATAAACATTGGGTGTGTCACGTAAGGGTTTCGTTGATCGCCGATGGAGTAACACAGGAGTATCCGCATTTGTAGCAGCACACAAATCGTCACTTTGCTCACAGAGTTTTGGAGCCTCAGCAAACGTGATATCTTTCTTTCCCAACATCTTACGTTGTAATGAGATGTTGTTAATTCCAGCAATGAGACGGTCACAAAGTTGTTCTTCAAATCGGTCACCATAGTTGCATTTTGACGCCTGTTTGTTCAACTGGAGAATGAACTCACGGCACGACATGTTGGCAGCTCTGATCATTGAGTTGAATTTGGCCCGTTCAGTGGCCTGAAAATCCACTGGGAGAATGTGGTCCAATAATAGGGATTTCAACTTCTCGAACAGCAATTCAGCAGGAACATTCGGGAACGCTAGATTCTGCACCAGGGAATACAGCTCTCGGCCGCCCAACGTCAAAAATAGGACCGACTGATTTTGCATTTGTCCTTTCTGGATGCTGCACCATAATTCGAAACGTTCTATCCACTCTTCGATTTCTGATGAGCCTCCGTGCAGGTTTAATGGTTCAATGACAGGAATCTCCATTACGCGACGCCAAATTGTGGTAATCGGAATAGTATTGAATTTAGGAATACTAGAATCCGTACTGTACTGTTCAGAACTGAATTGGCTCCAACCCGAACTGCGGACACCAATGAAATACACGAGGAATTGATAGCAGCAAATGCTTATGTTTATTGATGAAATTAGATCATGTTTTATAGAATGTAATAGTCCATATGATTGGTTGAACGAGCATCCTCTAATCACGTAACCGTTTGCATTGACTATCATATGTGCTAACTCGGATGTCATGTTCACCCGGTGTACCATTGGTCGAGCTTCCTGAACGGTGATTGGATGACATGAAACTGTACCTAGTCGTGCATGGATTGAGGTTACCTAAGTCTAGATCACCACAGGTTTCTTGACTTGGATTGAATTAAAAAAACTTGGAAGAAGGTGACCCAAGGCATGACTACAGTCATGTGTGATCTGGTCCACTTAACATCATTGAAGGTTGCATATCTGGATCAGTATTTTGTGAACACAAGTCTGACTTTGTCCAGTGGATTATTATTAGTAATATAGTTATTATTGTGTTAATGTTTGTTGTTTACATTTCTACATTCCTTTATTTTTCTAACATATATTTTACTGTAAATTGTTTCGGGAATGAGACCTGTGACCTGTCAAAGTTTATCTGTATGTTGCAAACTTATGTTGTGAGACTAGGAAAATGACGAAACAAGTCGATTTTCTACCCCTATAGGCACCCAATCTCCACCAAATATGTGATCATATAAATGGAGCCACTACCACTCTCTCCCTCTCTTCATGTCTGAACCATATAGTGTATTTTCCTTACTGCCTTCCGACACACCCATAATCATGTGGCCTAAATATATGGGACCACAACAGCGCCTGAGTTGATGATGAACATAACGTAACACGGGAAATTATCGTCATCCTGAAACCAAACAACTGATGTCTAGAACACAAATCTACTTTTGGCCACATTGAATGCTGTTCTAGCTGTGTCGCCTGAGTCGTGTAAACGAATTTTTTCACCCAAAGTCGTAGTACCGCATTCTGTGGTTGTATTGTGTATTCTGTATTGTGTATTGTGTATCTTGTACTGTGTATAACTTTTTCAAGCACTGGAGCTCACATTTCAGTTGAAGAAAAATCATGCATGCCAACCGTCACAATGTACATATAAACCTGGAAAATGTTTCACAGACATGAGGGCACTCCATAACCCAAAGTAAAGACAAAATTAACTTATTATCATATCTTTGTTTATGAATAGACGAGCAAGATACGGTATTTGTGAATTGCGATAAACGTTAATTCAGTATGAAATTTGGCGAAATCGGGAGCGTATTGAATGATGGAAACGATAACGTGTCAACTCCGCGTGCAATGGGTGGTCAGGCTCTGCGAGAATCCTCTGTGCAAATTTCACACAGGAAGTTATATGGTGTCGTGAAAGCTTTACAGCTTGCTCATTTACAGGAATAGAAGAAACGCGGCTAATAATAGTTATACCGCAGCGTAGGACTTTAAAATCCTGTCTAAGTAGGCCAGGAAAAGTAACTAGAGAACAATGAAGTACCATAGGGAAAACACACTGATAAACAAAGGTAGAAGTAACTGACTGGGATTCACGAAACTGTCTGAGCTTTCAAATTTGAAATGATAGATGCCGCAGTCTATCAATGCAGTTGTGGATGTGGGTT